TGGCCGTCGAGGCCGGAATCTGGCCGAAAAATTGTGTTACGACACAGACCCAACACGACGATCTGGCATTTTCCGACCAGATCGACGTGTTACGACACAGATCCGACGGGTCTGTGTTGTAACACAATTTTCTGGCCAGATTCTGGCGGTGGTGGCCAGAATCTGACACTGCGGGTGGTGGGGGTGTTTTTGTTATTTTATAAAAAAATTTATATATTGGGGTATTTAGTCAAATTAGAAAACCTAGGGGGTTTTTTTAGAAATTTTTAAATTTATAAAAAGCTAAAATATTAAACTTTCAAGGGTATTTTAGTCTTTTCACTATTATTAAATGAAAATTACTAATAGAACATAACAGAAGGTATCTATTTATCATTTTAAAATCTTTTAGGTACCAACTGTGGTTTAGGAAAACCTTGGGTATGTGTAACCCGTTCTGCCTAACAAGATTAAAGCAGCTGAGAGAATTATGTAAAAAGAAAGAGGGCATAGTTGTCATAAAAATTTGAAGAAATAAAGCTGAGCTGGTGAGGAGGCATATTATTTTTTCTAAATCTCACCTTTCATTGGCAAAATTACTAGACAAAACAACCCCCCAAATAAAAATATTGCCTCAAAGTGGTCCATGTATCATGGCGCACCACACCATTTGTGAAGCTTAATAACAAGATTTTGGTGGTTTTAGGCTTTAAAAAAATTATATTATACATCAGTTGACGTAGTATTACTCTTACAAATTATATTTTGGTAAAATACCGATGATGCAAGAGCCCATGGGATGAATAGTCTCGATAATGTCAAGATGCTACTAAATTTGGCAGGGCACTCCCGAACGGCCAAACAAGTTAGGCTCATTATAAAGAACGGGTTTTGTCATTTTTGTAGCCTTTCGGAATCATTTAAATGGGTTTTTGGACGTTGTGTTTTTGCAAGTTTTTGAAGTTACGGGACTTTTTAGAGTTTTTCTGATAATTGTTTAATTTTCTTTTTTCCTTTGAATTTTGGGATTAGGTTTTTGTTTTTTAGGGGAACTATTTAAAGGTTGGTTCAGCAGTAACGGAGGCAAATTATTTTTTTATTATTATAAATGAAATATTAAGAACATTGTGTGGTTTTTTTTATCCAATATAGTATCTGAATCTTGATACAATTCGATTGTAACTTATCATATCACTTGTTGATTTCTTTTTTCAGTCATCTCTGTTATAATTTTGGCATTAACAAACATCCTTTTCCATCCAATTACTATAAACAAAATAATTAATAAGACTTGAATAAATAATCCATACTTATATATAGTCAATCTAAAACACTTTTTACCAAACCAAATATTAATTACAAGGTCAAAAATAGGCTCTTATATATCTCATGCAATGCATATCCCAGAAAATACGTAAATAATAACAAATCATTTATTCATAAAAGAGACAAAGAAATTAAAAATTAAAAATAGGAAAATTGACTACGAGGGGAGTTGAAATCTGAAGAGTAAGATTTGGTCGACTCATCATGGCTCGTCTTAATCTCATTTAAACATTTAATTTTTATAGTAAATTTGAAATAATATACAGGTAGTTGAAAGTATACATCTGCCCTCTCTCTTGCCTGAAAGAGTGATCAAACAGCGGACCTTACTAATTAAAATATACGAGGGCTCTGGAAAATTAAATTGAAATCGGTACGCAATTTATGAATCTGCTTTCATCTCCTGTGCATTTTAATATGACTTTGAAAGGGTTGGTAGATTGAGTAAAATCTTGCCAATTAAATCGGAATCATCATTCTGCCTTTACCATTATGAAACCAACGTGTCTGGTTACTTATCATGCCACAAATGCATTACTATTAATTACTATTTCTTCAATTTCAGAGTTCTCTTTTTTGGATCTAATTTTTACCCATCTGAAAATATGTTATAAATAAATATATTTGAAAGTTGTTGAATTATTGTATTGACGTTGGTCTACAATTTCAAAGGATGCAGGTGTGTTATGACCACATTTTATTTTATATAGTAAAAACAAAGAGTAAACGATATGTTCCCCCCAAGGTTTATCAAAATGGTAAGTTGATACTCTTGATTTCATTTATTCCATATTTCTACTCTTTAAGTACCATCGTTAATTTGGTGGTAATGGGGTTGGCTTATGGGCAATAGTTGGGTGAAGACTTTAATCGAGCATATTATAGACACTAATTTGGACTTCGATTTCTAGCGACTAGGGAGTTACTGACGGCCAAAAAACACATCAGAACAATCAGTTGATTGCGAAGAAGCAAGTGGTGAAGTTTGGAGAGGTCGATTGTACCCAAATCGATGGAAAAAAAGCTTAAGAAGTAACCCAATCTCACAAGGTGGCAAGAATGGAGGTGGTCGGAAATGGTGAATGAGGTCGGCAAGTGAAGACATGAGTTTTGTAAAGGAGGTTGTGAGGAGTCCAACAGTGGTCTTGGAAGTGATTTTAAACTTCGGAATCGACAAAAAAAAAAAAAAAAAAAAAACCGTTGGTTTAGATGTTGCTAATGTTAGCCGCTTCTTGTTAACGTAAGCTTGCCTTCAATTAAAGAAAGCGCCGACACACTTTAACGTACTAATGTGTACCGCACTTTAATATATATGACATTTTAACCAACAGTGTTACTTTATCTAGAATAAATAAAACCAGATATATCAACTTACTATTTCGTTAAACTTCGGCGGAATCATGTTTACTCAAAAAACAAATACATATATTGAAACTCGGTTTGCGATGAGACAATTTTCCATAGATTCAGTAAAAGTAGATTATTTTATATTTGAAGGAAACATAACGGAATAACCGCATTCCTAACACAAAATATACATTAGATTCTACATTTAATTGGTTGAACGACTAAAAGGTAAGTATATAGCTTTTTATATTAATAATATAAATTTAATTATTAAACAAAGAAAGCTAAAAGCTGAGTATGCAAATAAATTATTAATTTCACATTTCTAAACATAATCCTTATAATTATATTCGTTCCAAATTACGTGGATTATGCGCTACCCCATTAGCCAAAGTAGATAGGTAATTTGATAACCTAATCAATAAAAACCTCGTCTTTCAACCATACCGAGTGATTATGAAAATGATGTTTTCTTAAATCTCAGCCTTTCATTGGCAAAATTACTAGAACAAAACAAACCCCACCAAATAAACACAGTTTGCCTCAAAGTGGTCCATGTATTCATGGCGCACCACACTCTTTGTAAAGCTTAATAAACAAGATTTATTGGTGGATTTAGGCTTAAAAAAAATTATATTATACATCAGTTGACGAAGATGAAAAACGGGATTTTACCAAATTTTTGCATGTCTTTCATCATCTCATTCGCCTTTCACTGACGGACAAAAATAACTCTAATTCTAAATTATTTCTTTAAATTTTATTATTAAAGTCCAAAATCAAGATTCTCGAGAGGTTGTTATCAATTTATAACCTAAAAACTCCATATATTAATCACAATGCATTAAGTTGCTAAATATTATGTAACCCACGTTCAGCCTCCCTTAATTATCGGATTAAAAATAACAATAAAATTCTTAAACATTTTAAATGCCATCCATCAAATCTTTTATTATTGTTATGTCCAATTCTCAGACGGTCAGATTTGTGCCGTGTGTCCTTGAAATACATCAAAGCTCGATGACCAGGATCCTTCCACGTGTCGTCTCGTTGACATTTGCCTTCCACCATAAGGTGATTACTACCATAAGTATGGATTAAACTGCCATTAGCATGACATAGTTTGTCACAAGCATAAGAATTACTGACTCATATCCTAATTAGCGGGATTATGCGTGGAAACAACCTTGCAACACCCACTCTTAACCACTGTCAAACGAGATGGGTATAAAAAGAGCTGGTAACCTTTGTTTCAAGGGACGATTCCAATGGTAGTAAAGTTTAGGAGATAAACACTTTGATCTTTTTAGAAAGAGTTTAAACAAAATAGGTCGTGAGAGCAGAACTTATCAGTCTCGCGCTCGTTCATTTGTGACCTCATTAGACCCTATAATACCCCGAAATAATAACATGACAATGGATGTAGGTTTGATTTTGTTAACCACCGAACCATTATAAAAATTCTCTTGTTTTTGTTCTTTACTTTGTTACGTCACTTCAACAACCTTGTTAGTTATCCATAATCAAGCGCATATTTTGCTCGGTTGCCTCCGAGGCTTCCTGGGTATCTCTGGTTGGTACAAATTATCGCATCAACAATTATTTTTTCTAATTATGACTAAACTAAATAATTCAAATGCACATTTATAATTTCTTATATAGTGCAAGTTTCTATTAAATGTTGATTAAAACCACCAACTTTAACCACTGTCGATGAATCGAAAATGATTATAATACTTAATAAATAACAATCCTTAGTATGATATTATTGGTATCATATTTTACATTGCCATTTCTGTTGTCATAAAGTTAAGATTTAAGTCAATCATATTTTATTATATGTATGTATATATTTGCTTTATTTAACATATGCATAATCTATGAATTATGTAAAAAAAACAAGAAAAATTGATCCAGTCACGTATTATGTTCTATATTTAACTCTGTTCAAACTAGGTGTAACAACTGTAATATTAAAGGTAATATTTTATATGGCATCGTCAAACATTGACTGGTCACGGGTACCAACAGTATAGAGCCAGCGAACCACACACAACCCGAAAAATAAAGAAGAAAAGGATGGGTATTTTTGTATTTACAATAAAAGGCAAGGGGTAAAAGAAGTAGACAGAAAATTACGTACAAATACCATCGTAGTTCTTAGGGCATTCCGTCACGTCCCGATGAAACCAAAACGAAAGAAGAGAGGGTATACTAGTAGAACAGAATAACAGATTAAAGCAACCGAGAGAATTATGTAAAAAGAAAGAGGGCATAGTTGTCATAAAAATTTGAAGAAATAAAGCTGAGCTGGTGAGGAGGCATATTACCTTACCTTGCATTCTAGCAACGTTCCCTAGGCAAAAGCCGGCTCATTACTCTCTCTAATCTCTATCTTTATAAAAATATTTTTATTTATTTTTCTGTCTTTTTTCTCTCTCTATCTTCTCCGTGCTTGTGTTTGTAGGATTCCCACCTATTTTCTCCCAAACACAAAGCACTAAAGAGAAAGAAAGAAGGAAAGAAAGAAAGCGAGAGAAAAGAAAATTCTAGAGAGAGAGATAAAATCAATCTCAAAGCTCTACCGTCGGAAAATGCCTACACTCTCCGGCGGCAACACCGCAGAAATGCTTTAATTAGTCCAACAGAATCTGACCTCGAGAACGTGTTCTTGTCTATGTGTGTTTATGAGAACAGGAAAATGTACGAAGCAATATTGCTCGAGCAACCAAACGACGCAGTTTGTAACATTAAGAAGAAAAAATCAGAAGAGGATAATACTAAGTGTACTGACCTCAAACCAGCTGTACCGTCCATTCCCGTAGTCGGCCGTAGTCGATCCCAAGCCACCACTCGGAGAGTTACACCTACTACTCTAACTAACGCCGTGATTAGCGGCGAGACGAGCTCCACGAGTGGAACCGGAACCACTGGAACAGTAATCGAGAAGCCTCTACCTAACGGGGATCTATACATCGGGAGTTTTTCCGGAAACGCGCCTCACGGATCGGGCAAGTATTTGTGGGCCGACGGGTGCATGTACGAAGGCGAGTGGCGAAGAGGTAAAGCGTCAGGTAAAGGCAAGTTCTCATGGCCTTCGGGTGCTACTTTTGAAGGCGAATTCAAGTCGGGTCGGATGGAAGGATTCGGTACCTTCACCGGATCCGACGGAGACACTTACCGTGGTTCGTGGAGTTCTGACCGCAAACATGGCTACGGCGAGAAACGTTATGCTAACGGCGACTTTTATGAAGGATGGTGGAAGAAGAATCTTCAAGATGGGCAGGGGCGTTATGTCTGGAGGAACGGAAATGAATATATTGGGGAGTGGAAAAATGGTGTGATTTCCGGGAGAGGAACTTTGATCTGGTCTAACGGAAATAAATATGACGGACAGTGGGAAAATGGCGTCCCCAAAGGTAACGGAGTTTTCACTTGGCCCGACGGCAGTTGTTACGTTGGAACTTGTAATATGAATAGCAAAGATGTTAAGTTACAGCAGTTAAACGGCACGTTTTATCACGGCAACAATGGGAAGGAACAAAATCTAATGGTGACTTCTTCTAGGAAGAGATCTTCCGTGGACGGAGCTCGAGGCAGCTCGACGGAGAAGAACATGATTTTCCCAAGGATTTGTATTTGGGAATCAGATGGCGAAGCTGGAGATATCACATGTGATATTATTGATAATGTGGAGGCATCTATGATATACGGAGAAGGATTAGGGTTTGATCGAGATTCAATAAGACAGTTCAGGAAGGGTCCCTGTTGTTTTAGTGGGGAAGTGAAGAAACCAGGCCAAACCATTTCAAAAGGCCACAAGAATTACGAATTGATGCTTAATTTGCAACTGGGGATTAGGTAATTTTTTTTCGAAACTCGTTGCTAATGACTGATTTTTTTTAATTACTTGTTTAATGATTTTGGGTTTTGTTTTGGTAGATATTCTGTTGGAAAACATGCTTCGATATTGCGAGACCTGAAGCCGAATGATTTTGATCCAAAGGAGAAGTTCTGGACGAGGTTTCCAGCTGAGGGCTCCAAGCTTACACCGCCCCATCAGTCGATTGAGTTTCGGTGGAAGGACTATTGTCCCATGGTGTTCAGGTATTGTTTTGTCAATCGCTGAATCGTGACTTTTCTATCTTTGAAGTATATTTTTGTTGTTAATGAAAAGGGATTTTATGAACATTCTCATAATAATGTAGTTGTAATTGGGTTAGAATGCTCCGTATCTTTTGCTATTTCTGTGACTGAAATTTTTCGGTTCCTATATTTAGGCGTTTGAGGGAGCTTTTCCAAGTGGATCCTGCTAATTACATGCTAGCTATTTGCGGAGATGATGCTCTAAGGGAGCTTTCTTCTCCTGGGAAGAGTGGAAGCTTCTTTTATGTTACACAGGATGATAGATTTATGATAAAGACTGTAAAGAAATCTGAAGTAAAGGTTAGTTGCCTCTCTTATTGATACCACTTAACAATGCTGTTACAATGACCAAATCATCTATTGGTTGATTGAGTTTTTCATTATACCACGTTGAATAATGTAGCATCTAATTAGGTCTGACATTTTCTTGCTGATATTCAGGTGCTTATTAGGATGCTTCCAAGTTATTACCAGCATGTGTGTCGGTATGAGAATTCTCTTGTAACTAAATTCTATGGCGTGCATTGTGTTAAACCTATTGGTGGACAGAAGGTATGTGTTGAGTGACGAATGTGAATTGTTTAATTTGTTTTTTCTTTGATTAAACTTGGTGTATATATCTAATTAGTTTTTTTCTTTGGAAAATAGACACGATTCATTGTTATGGGCAATTTGTTTTGCTCGGAGTATCGAATCCATAGACGATTTGACCTAAAAGGATCATCACACGGGCGCACAACAGATAAGCCTGAAGGGGAGATTGATGAAACAACCACCCTGAAGGACTTGGATCTCAATTTTGTGTTTCGCCTTCAACGAAATTGGTACCAGGAGCTTATCAAGTAAGTTTGAAGTTGATAAGATTTGTTTGCTTTATGGCATTTGCATCACATGAATTTCTCATTCGACCCTTTTGATATTTATTGCTATATAATCATAAAAATTTGGCAGACAAATTGAAAGAGATTGTGAGTTCTTGGAGGCCGAGAGGATCATGGATTACAGTCTTTTGGTTGGTCTTCACTTCCGTGACAACACTACGGGTGACAAAATGGGGTTGTCACCGTTTGTTTTGCGCACTGGTAAATGGCTTTGCTACTCTCCCATTGTGTAATGATTTGTGAGTGAGTTAAAATTTTACAGCAATTGGAAAATGAACCGAATGTATGATTTTCACCATGCAGGAAATAGGGATTCTTATCAGAGTGAAAAGTTCATGCGTGGCTGTCGCTTCCTTGAAGCAGAGTTACAAGACATGGATCGTATTTTATCTGGCCAGTATGTTCTTTTCTGTTTAGTTTCTTATTGTTCAGTTCAGCCTATTTTTTTGCACATGATGTGAAATTTGTATATTAATTTAAGCAATCTAACTTACGAGAAACGCCCCAGAGACTTAAAGCTTCAATAATACGGTTTCCTGTATGCCTTTTCTGTTATGATTTTTCTAGTCACTAACAATTGGAAGAACATGTTGTAATTGGACTTTTTCTATTTGTTTTGATGGCATTAGAGGTAGACAATAATTTGTCATTGAATTTGATAATATCCTTTGGAACAATTAATGGTAGTTTGGGTTGTCTTGATGATTTTGTCTGGTAGTTAAGAAAAAATCTGTTGTTTGTGGGCCATATACAGGATATGGCCCTTTGTGATCATAGATAAGAACCAAGTCTTTACTTGATTATTGTTTCACATTGTTGTATCTGTTACGAGATCTTTGATGAATTTCCTTGCCTTTAAACAGGTTGTAGTTCTTAAATTAAACATATTTTCCTGCTTCATGTATGCTGCTTTTGCATTTGTATCTTGATCAAATGGCTATTCTTATGTTTGAAATATTTTTTTAGGAGAATATGAATATTTAGAAAAATATTGTGGACCAATACTAAGTTGAAATTGAAACTTGTTCTTTATCAGGAAACCCTTGATCAGGTTAGGAGCAAATATGCCTGCAAGAGCAGAGAGGATGGCTAGAAGGAGTGACTTTGATCAGTACACCCAAGGTGGAGTTAGTCATTTGACCCCTTCACACAGTGGGGAGATCTATGAAGTGGTCCTATACTTTGGCATTATTGATATATTACAGGACTACGACATCAGCAAGAAGCTAGAGCATGCATATAAATCCTTACAAGTTGACCCTGCTTCAATATCAGCTGTAGACCCCAAACTTTACTCAAAGAGGTTTCGGGATTTCATCGGGAGAATCTTCATTGAAGACAGGTAGCATTCAGTTTTGAAAATAAGGATCACTTTGGATTAAGAAAATTGGCCAATACAAAGATCTTGACTGCACCCTTGTAGAGAAAGTTGCTGGGAATTATGCTGTTCCTGGTTTTGGGTTGAACAGATGTTTTGTGGGCCAGACATCTAACCACTGCAAGTGTGGTTTGAGAGCTTGGCAGTGGCGGTTTTTGGTGGGTTGATGGCTGAATTTTGAGGATCAGCCATAACTCTTGATGGGGCTGGTGCTTGTACATTCCGGGGGGAGGGCAATTTGAATCTTGATTTCCTTTTTTTTTTTATATATTTTTTTTTGTGGGGAATATTTATTTCCTTAGGGGAAATTTTTGTGGGTACCAAGGAATGTGAATTGTGAAGATTTGAAAGATAGGTATAGGGAACGGGGTACATGTTTCCGAGAGTAAAAGATTCAAAATGGGAGGAAGACTTGGAATAAAAAAGTGTACAGTTTATAGAAAAGATGATAGTTTATGGAATTTCATGATATTCAAAAAAAAAAAAAAAAATATTTGAATCTGCTTGCAGGGGAAGGGAGGTCCCATTCTCCAATAGGATCTCACTTCTTTTTATCTGTTGCATATAAGTGGGCTATCTGTGGTGTATAGAAATGGGGTCATGACTTTTCTTTTGCAGTGAAAGGGAAGGCATTGGGCACAGGTAGATAAGAGTTAACAACATGAAAAGTAGAGAAAGCACGAGAAAGATGAGCTGATGTTTCTTGTTCTTCACCACTTTGTTTACTCTGTCTTTTTACTGTTCTCTCATTTTTTTCAATTACTTTTTACTTGTTTTAAACACAACCCAACACCAAATAAACAATTTACCCATCAAGGTAAATTACAATTTTACGGACATTCTGGTCCCCTCATCCTCCAAACAATTTTTGAGGAATCTACGTTGGTTATCCTGTGCTGTCATACTCATACCTGGAAGGATAAATTTGTCATTTTACTGATGATCATTGAGAGTCGTGTAAGGGCTTCTTGCCCCTTCACTGGTGAGGTCAAAGAGAGAGAGAGAGAGAGAGAGTATGGGATCGAACCCTTTCCGTTCCTTAAACAGTAGAATTTGTTTCTCTTTTTGACCTTGTTCTGTTTTGGAATCGTGACCTTCTATTGTCTGATATTTGCTCAGACCCAAAGCACGCCTCTGCCACCACTGCCCCTCTAATCTAATATATTCAAGTATTTATCTTAATTTATTCCATTTTAATTTTTACTATCAAGGTCAACTGGTCAACTCCTTATTCCTAGATCCAAGATTTTATTTTATTACCCATGTACCAAAATTTCACTTATTTCATGTTATAAAATAAGTTTATCCTTGTTTTAGATAGACAAACAAACATTGCAATTGCCATTAGCGTAGTTACCTAAAATTTAAAACATAATTTCAGTATATTCCATTGTTGCCTAAATGGCTAAATCTAGTTCTAGATTAAAGCGATACACGTGTTTACTCAAATTTTTTACTTTATACTATTTCAAGCATAACAACATTCACACGTGGTTGAATATAATTTTAATTAAGAATAGCATAAACCAAAATCTTGATGAAGTTTTAATTTGTCTCATCATTTTCCCTTTTTCGTGGTCTCTTTGTTTTTAGCAACAGTGCATTTACACAAATTATTTCAATTTTTATATCCCAACTTGAGATCTTAAGTTGGTGTCAGAATTTTTATCAAGTTGAAACCAAATCAGAATCAAAGAATTATAGGGACCAGCCAGCTAAACTAGAAACCCAAACGCGTTTAATTCTAGTTAGAAGAGTGGTTGGTTTTCTCGTCAACCAAACAAACAGAAGAGAAGAGAAGAGAAGAGAAACAAATAATTAAGCCATGGATGCACAATTCTCAAAACTGACATGTAAATGGGAGTGATCTAGTGATAGTAGACCTGCAATATCACAGCTGAGGCATATATATTGCTAGGCGGGCGTTGCATTCCATGCCTAAAAAGCATAAAAGTAGAAGCTTATTTAATCACATGGAGGATACGGAGATGGAGATTTTTTTCTTTTTTTTTCTTTTTGGGTAAGTAGAGGATGGAGATTTGGTTTTGATTCAGATCTAAGTTCCAGACTTCCAGTCTGTTTTTGTGCGCTTATATCGGGACCATTACCATTCAAAGTGAGGAAGTACTTTATTATTATTGCGTTTCCTGCATTTCTGATTTTGTTAATTCGGACAATGTCGCCGCCTGTGACAGTCTTCCAATCGAGTTTAACCGACCTGTCATTAATTAATTGCTGTATATATTGGTTTGTAAAAATTGATTACAGGCTTACAGCTCCATCCAGTTGTACCATAACAAACACAAAATCAAAGAATGAAATCTACTGTAGAATCATATGAGATCCCTACGAACAGATTTGTCTACCCCTTTGTCAAATCATTATCTTGATTCTCCGTATAATCACAATATCAGAAAGAATAGTTTCTATTTCTATTTGCATGTGTTTGTGTATCCAAATCATGCTTCCACATGTTAACTTCTTATTAAACCCAATTAAGGTACTTAATTTAATCAGCATTTTGAATGTTGAAGACGCATAGAAGAATAATTCATTTACATCCATCTATGTCAAGTGATGTGCTAATTCATTGATATATGTCATTATCTAAATTAAAGCTGCGAAAGGGTAAGGCGTGAAAGAAGAGTTCCAGCTCTGTTTACGTGTGCCCATTAAATTTTGGTAGTCTTCAATCTAAGAAAAAACCCACATCAGTTTTCAAGAACATGTGGGCATTAATTCTCCGCATGGACTAATTAATTGAATCTCTCAACAAACCTAACTTTGAAAACAACTCAAATTAATGTTGTTTTCGTCCTCTTTGGATTTCTAATGCTAAGCTAAAAAGCGACAAACACATTATCTTTGTCCTCTTTTAAACCAGACAAAAACTGTATTCCCACTGACGTGGAGTGAAATAATTTTCCCAGCAAACTCGCAACTCATTCGGGTTCAATCTTAGAAAAAGTCTGCTGTCTATTTGACATTTAGACACATAATCGTCTTATTAATTAAGAAAAAATGGATGTATAGCAAATTGATTAAACTTTTTATTAGCCTTTAACATCAACTTAGCCACCACTATTTATAGACTTTCCTTAAATTCAAACTACTTTGCTGCCCACTAATGAAGAATTAACCTTTCTTAAGTTTAGTTGTGTACGTTACCCATTTTTGTGTGTATGTTCACATGTACAAATTAATTTATCTTTATATCATCGTGCCTCCACGTAGAATTTTTTGACCAATTTTATATATAAAGATTTAACCTTTGACAAGATGAACGTTCATATTTAAAATAAGTTTTTTTTTTTTTTTTTCCGCCAAGAGTGGTAATTCCTAAGATTAATTAATTTTCAATTGGAATTGGGATAGAAGATGTCTTGATCAGGCTATATCGTCAAAGAGAATAAAATCATTTGCATGCTTATCCTCTTTGGATTTAAGAAATGTATTATAGATTTTGGCAATAATAATTAAGATGAGAAAAAAACGTTAACTACCTCTGAATAATCGAGTGATTCGATAGGGACTCATGGGTATATCATTTAAGAGGTTCTGAATTCGAATCTCTTTTTGGTTATTAATAGAAATTGTCACTAGAACTCTTGTCCGACATGTAGTTTCAATACCTCCAATCATTAAAAAAAAAAAAAAATGATAGTGCACGTAATAATTCTAATTTAAAAATATTGCCTTAATTTCTCTTTTAAAAAAGGTTTTGTTGGTACTCTTCATTTTCAAATGAAGGCGTTTTGTCTTGAGTACAATAACAATCACATGCAAATGCAAATATATATATATATACAGCTGGTGAAGAGAACACCCATTTATTAAACAACATGCATGCATGATCCTTGTCGCTCTCATTCATGCATGCGCACAATTTGAATTTATATACAACAAAAATCACTTCCCTCGTTCCTGGGTAGTTGGTAATCAAATACTCCTTTGTAATTTGCTTGAACACCACAACTCTCTCTGTCGTATTTCTTCAACTCACGGATTCAAATTTATTCTTCCATTATTTCTTCAACTTGTCTGGCATAGCATATTCTCGTATCTCCAGTGAACTAAGAGTTCTTCACATGGGAAAAAAAAAAAATGTCGTTTCATTTACATTAAAGTCAAAGATGTAGATTAATTAATTTACTCGAAGTTCTCAAAGAAAAGATGATGTACAATAGAAGAATATATGGTTTTCTGAAAGGAAGAGAAACGACTTTAGTTGAAATCTTTTCAACCTCTTAAAGAGCCGAGTGGCCTCTATTTCCCCACCAAGAAGAAAACAAAGACTCTCAGTAGTGGCTACGCCAGCCCAAGTCGTGGAGAAATAATATCTAATGTGCAAGTTTCTTAATCAGATGGGAAGTGAAAACGAGGGGGAGGACCTATTAGATCTTGACGATCAATGATAAAGTTAAAGAGTGATGGGGACTGTACACATGCAGGTAGTTAATTGTCCCTTGAATTTTATCATTTATGAATAATTCAACCCACTCATAACTACCCTAACCAAACTCTGCTCTCCATCAAAGATCACTCCTGTGGGCTCTATTCATTTACCTATATAGTCTTGACATGCTTTCTGTTACAACACTTTGGTGGAAAAAAGCTTGCTTCAATTAATTAATTTCCTCATTTTTCATTAACATTAACATTTATATAATGCTCTTAGATATATGTTGGTTTAATAACAATTAATGATGTCATATATGTACATAATCGATTGTCAAACCAGTAAACTTTGTGTAATATGTGGTTGTGGATCATCTAATTAAAATCTGAATACACTAATGCAAATATGACATGTTTGTTTTGTTTCGCAAAAGAGACTCGGGTGATTATTGTTGAATCCAAAGGCCAAATACATCACAAGAAAAACATAAAATAATAATATAACATAATGATTTACCCTTGTTCGCAATAAACATTATCACACCTTTGTTATTCAAATAAAACGATATTATTGAGTATCATAAAATTGCATAATACAAAGTTGAACGGCATCGGTAGCTCACTCTTCTCTCTGTTCTCACACCTTAGTTTTTCACTATTACAGAAAATACATAATAGAAACCTAACCTCATTTGGGCTTACCCGAATTTAACCTGACCCATGTTCAAATATTTGTAAACTAATGCTAAACTCATTTAGACATTGGTCCAAACGAGTAACAGTAGATAGATATCTGTCAAGACTAGCTAAGAGAAGTATACACCGTACCTATATAATAACAAAGATGTGATGGAATAGAATTGAGATTCTAAAGTATATGGT